CTGGTGCTTTTGTCCCGACGCGTCTTCATACAAACACAAGCGAATACTTTGTATCCAGAGTTTCGTTGACGAGGCGCCGGGACGCTTTTGTTTCAGGGGGGACGCACGTTCACACAAAAACAAAAACGCACACAACAGTTACTGTTGCTGTTGGAGAGTTTTCATCTAAGGTTCACTGAGGAAAGTGACTGTTGTTAACGATCAGCAGCAGACTGAGAGACGATGTTACAAGAAAGCAGTGAAAGTCTAATAAAGAGGAAGTTTACCTTCACATATTCTCCACTGCTGTCCGTCACGTCCTGCCGACTGACAGACAAACAAAAACACAAAGTAATTCATCAACTTTCACTCTGTCAGTCTTTGTCTCTCAGTGCAACACAAACATTTTGTTTCCCCACAAAGGAGTACTGAGGTTGAGTAGAATACTACAGCAGTACTGGTAGCAGTATCAGTGGTATCAGCAGTACAGTCGAGTCTTTCTCTCCGTCCGGTTGAAAACTCTGTGACAGCAGCAGACGCCACCCGACGAAGCTCTTCTGCTGCTGTGGGAAGACGACAACCATGTACGTGTTGTTCAGGGAGCCACGTTTACCCCCAATCGCCCCCCCCACCACCACCATCCCTCCCCCAAGTATCTCAGACCTCTACACACTTTCAGAGCAACGTTAAAAATATGCTTTCTTAACAGAAATAGAAAGTGCAGTTGCGTGGTTTCTCTGTGGCCGGAGGGATGTGAAACTTCTCTGTTGGTCATGTTTCCATGAGCAACGACGAGGGCGGTGACCTTCTGTTCCCAAACACAAACACAACGAACAAACACACACACGTGATCACACAACTTAAACCCGATGCATGAGAAGCTCCAGAGAGTCAGAAAAACTGCGTTCAAAAGCGCGATGCAGTCCTGCATCACGTCTTACTGACAAGGTTCAGTAAGACGTGATATTCCTTCACAAGTAATACTTACTGCACTTACAGTTTGGTGCAGTGTAATTGTTTGCCGTGATAATTAAATGCAGTGTGATAATAAATGACCTTTTCAAATCATCCAAACTGGCCCGATACTAATTAAAAATAAATTCCTGCATTAAAATAATGTATCTGCTGGTTACATCCACCAATCTACATGAGAACATGCTGTTTGCCCCCCACCCCCAAACCCCCCCAAACCACTGACTGGTCTCCTCGTCTCTCTCACGTGTTTCCGGTGTTCGGTACCGAGTCCCACCGAGCCACATTCCGCACATTCCTCCTCTGACAGCGACCGGCCGTTAAGTTCTTTCTAAGTACTTGTAGTACTTCGAGTACTTCCTCTGGGTACTTTTTTCTCACCTTCTCTCCCGCTCCCCGCTTATTTTCAAGCAACACAAAATAAACAGTATAAATGAATGAATCTGACTGTGCAGGTAAAAGCGCCTGCGCCTTTATAATATTAGAATTATTGTCATGAACTCATTCCACCATTTATTGTGTTTCTTACAAACTGTAGCGGAAGCACATGAATTAAATTAAACGATGTTGATCATATTGTTTAATCAAATCTATAGCAATTAAAACAGCATCCAAAGGATATGGGAACTGTTTCCCATATTAGAGTTAGAATTAATTCTTTTCAATTGTTTAAAGTCTATATTATTTAATTAATTAAAGGTACATTTGCTCTTTCTTTTAAGAACTAAGACGCTGACATTCTTCAGGCTGCTTCTCATCTCACTGCAGTGACACATTATCGTGGCTTCAGAGCCATAAACTACTTTTTTGTGCAGGTCGGCAACAAATATTAACATTTTTGGCCTCGTCACCGTAAATTAACGACAGAATGTGCTCACCTGTCCTCGGGCTCCGCCTCCTGCCGGCCGCTCGCGCCCGTCACGGTTTTCTGCGTTTGGCGGCGAGCTGCTTCGGCTATCGGGTCCATGGGCACGTAGAGGTCCTGCGAGGACGCCGCTCTGGGGCCACTGGTCGCCATGTTAACAGGCTCCCTTTCTAAAGCCCCCCCGCTCCTCTTTAAGGGGTCCGCGGGAGGATCATCGAAGCGGCTTCCGTGTGCCGAGGTCAGAGGTGAAGCCGGGCCGGGTGGGGTGATGGTGGTGGTGTTGGTGGGCGGAGGTCTGGTCTGGTCCAGTCTGGTCAGACTGAGGCTGGACAGCGCACTGAGCAGAGGGGAGTCTCGGACGTGCTCCCCCGCCCTCCGCCGGCGCCGATCCTCCTCCTCCTCCTCCTCCTCCTTCTTCTCTTCTTCTCCTTCAGCCCCCTGCTGCTCTTCTTCTGGGACTGGGCTGCGTGGCACAGTGCCCACATGTGTGTACATCTGGCTGGAGTGGGCGTACCCGGGGCTTCGGAGGCAGGCGTCCACGTCGTCCACCGACTGTTTGGCGCCCCCGAGGCTCCCATGATGCTCTGGGGTCGCTGTGACGCTGGTCTTCTCTGACGGGCGGCGGATGGACAGATTGGTCAGGCTCCCAAACCATCGGAGACCTGCAGAGACAGAAAAATGTCCCTCGTCGATGCAAAATACCAATGAAAGAGACTTGTTTCTACTTCTGAAGCTGTTGAATCAGTCGTCGAATCAGTCGTCGAATCAGTCGTCGAATCAGTCGTCGAATCAGTCGTCGAATCAGTCGTCGAATCAGACGTCGAATCAGACGTCGAATCAGACGTCGAATCAGACGTTTAATCAGACGTCGAATCAGACGTCAAATCAGACGTCGAATCAGACGTCGAATCAGACGTTTAATCAGACGTCGAATCAGACGTCGAATCAGTCGCCGAATCAGACGTCGAATCAGTCGTCGAATCAGTCGTCGAATCAGTCGTCTTCAAGTTGCTTCGGACATTATTAGTCACTAAATGATGAGATCTGATGAGCAGCTACGTAACATAACGAGCTTAAAGTCCATCACTCCGTTATACGAGTACGTGCAGTCGTACTTCTTTAAATATTGTAATAAGCGTTTCTGAAGAAGAAAGAAGGTGATTTTTTTTTACTATTCTGCGGAACTTTACATCCTCCGATCGGAGGAGATCTCCAAAAACATGAACATGTCGTGTTTGTCTCATAAATTCCCTTCTGGATGGATTTTAGGAGCACAGGCGAGACCTGCAGAGCATTTACATCAGGCAGGTCATGACCTTAATGTTGAGACACTCTGAAATGACTGAAACCACTTCCTGTTCCTCCAAGCGGGGCGGCGTGTTGCCTTCACTGACACGCTGAAAACACCCGACCAGTTGACTGTGACTATCGGGCTGTTTGGATCACAACCTGTGATTCTGTCCACCCCCCTAACGAGGTCGCTTACAACCCCCACCCCCCCCTTCCTGGGCGACCGATTAGGCCCCGAAACCCCCTCAATGGGTATTTATTATCTCTGCTGAACATGAACTGGTGCTTTGGGAGGAGGGAGATGATGGATGCAAAGAATATTTGAAGCAAATCAAGTATAATGTCATAACGTCAACGAACACCAGATGCATCATGGGTAACGTGTGAACAACGACGGAGTCAGACTGCAGAAGAAGAGACCGTTGTCCTTTCAGGAGACGTCTGTTTGTTGAACTCTCAGCTGTGCGTCCAGAGGACACAGAGACACAACTGTGCTTCATTTACAATAAACATAAAGTGAAGAGCCAGCGCGCGCGCGCACACACACACACACACACACACACACACACACACACACACACACACACACACACACACACACACACACACACCAGTTCAGTGTCTTTCATACGATTACACAAACAAACTTTATCTGTCTCTTTTCTGCTGACTCATCTTTGAAGTCTTAATTTTTCCAAATGTGGAAGGTAATTAAATATGTGTACTAAGTACTGTGTGCAGTGTGTTGTAACTGTGTTTAAATAGTACACAGTCATGAAGTATTTCTGTAAGCTTTATTTTGTCCCAAAGAAGAAATAAAGAAACTAGACAATTTGGAGGAGACACAAATGAAAAACTGCTTCAGACGCTGTTTTTAAAGAGACCGTTGAGTCCATGTACGTCATCGGAGTCTGAGATGTAGTGAAGGAGAAGGAAAAATACTCAAGTACTGAACTGAAATTTCTGACTAAAGTATTTCAAACTGGAGCATCAGATCTCACAGTAGAAGTACTCTGCGTATACTATGTGTATACATACAGATACATCTGTATTGGTACTTTCTCCATGATACTTTAATCAAACAAAGTAAATAGAACTTACTCAGTTTTCGTCTGTTCATGGTTCGACTTCGTGAGACGTTTCCTTTGTACAGAAAACAGTTTCTGCGGCGTGCTGAGAACTCCACTTCCTGTCCTCTGAAGAGCTGACAGGAAGTGCTCATGGTGATGCAATCAGGTGAGAAGTCATTTCGTGACTAATGGACGGAGCTCACGGTCCTTACATCGGACATCTGGACGGTCGTTTCAGGCGACTTTCTTCAGCTTGAAGAGTCATCGTGGAACTGACCTGAGAACAGGAAAAACTCATCGATTAATCAGCGTGATGTTGTGACAAAGTTTTACAAACTTTCTTTAATGTGAACTTTTACACCAGTGACGTTTTAAATAAAAAACTTTTACTTGGGTGTTAGGTGAATATTTATTTAAAAGAAACCTTCTATGTCTGGCTAAAATGATCTGATTAACTAAAGACAAACTACATTCAAAGCTCAGGTTCAGGTCTTCTCAGAGAGACTAAACAGGCCAATGTCTGTTTATATTACTGGTTTTCATTAAAGTCATCATTTTTTTAGGCAAGTGTGATATTTATACAAGGCCTGAATATGAGCTTTAAAATACAATCTGACTTAAGTAGATCTGTCAGGGATGCGTGGAGGAGGCAGGACTCAAATGCAGACTTCTCAAAAAACAAAAGACTTTAATAGTCACAAGGCAAAAGCAAAGGGCCAAGGGGCAAAAACACACAGGAACCAGGGGAAACCCAGCAGGCAGGAAACTACGTCCTACGTAACATCCACGACGATAGACAATGACGCGACAAGTGACACAAGAGACACACGGCTTAAATACACAAGGGAGGTGCAGGTGATTGGACACAGGTGGAAACTATTAGACGATCACAGGGGATGACGGGACAAGGCAGGAAGTGAAGTTACCCGGGGACACGAGTGGCAGAAAACTACAAAATAAGACAGGAAGTGAACCACACCGTGACAGTACCCCCCCCTCAAAGGCCGAATTCCAGACGGCTCACACTAGAGCGAACAAGGGGTGGGGGGGAGGGTTACCCGAGACGTTGGTCGGACCACCAGGGAAACTCTGGCGGGCGGCCCGGCGGGCGGGGACCACTGATCTCAAAATAACCAACAACAGCAGAAAAGTCACAGCCGAGGACGGGCTTTGGATTTCCACCAGAGATGGGTCGTCGTGGTGCAGGGGTTAGAGAAGGTGTGCTGGGAAGCACAAGGTTGGTGGTTCGATTCCAGGCTGCCCCATGTTCCATGTCAAAGTGTCCCTGAGCCAAGACACCTAACCCCTAATTGCTCCCCGGGCAAAAATGTGAAAAAGCCATGGGTTTAAAGTGTAATGTAAGTCGCTTTGGATAAAAGCGTCTGCTAAATGACCTGTAATGTAATGTCATTTGAAAACCAGTCAACGTCACTCTGATTGGCTGAAGCACACACATCATGTAAATGCCACTCGGTCAAGGCAACGCGCCAAACATTTAGCACGATTGAGCGTGAATTTACTCTAAATTGAAGGTAAGTTCGATAAGCCTAGTGAATTCTATGTCCATGCCGTATATCGTAGCGAATGGCAAAGCATGCCTTAACGACACACATTTTTATTTTGCGTTAGCTAAACAAAAGGAAATTAACTGGTACAGAAAACATGTCCCCTACCTCTTAGTTATAGAAGTAGTATAAAACGTCTAAAATTAGTCTAAATTTGACGTTGAAAAGACGTCTAAAACGACCACATTTGTACCATAAATAGCCCTTATATGGAGGTCCCACGGATATGAACATTAGACGTGCAGTAGACGTCAAAAAAAGACGTCACAACCCCTTCAGTGGACCAAAATTGGACGTCCAAAATGACCTAGAAAAGACGTCACACTGACGTCACATTGCGCAGTGGGCAGTTGTGGAGAAGGTGGGTTTTCAGGGAATGGTGAATACACTGGAGCCGAAGTACAAAATACCTTCTTGGCGATACTTCACCGACACAGCCATACCAACGCTGTACAATGTGTTGAAATGCAAACGCCATAAAGTAGCGTATTATTGTGTAGCGTAACTTATTTTCTGTCTCAGGGATATGCTGCTTATTACCTATAATAAAAAGGGGCATTTTGTGTTTGAAGTCTTCTTCTTATCATTGACTAAGAGCAAGCGAATCGAATCGTGAGGTGCCAGGAGATTCCCACCCCTAGAAACCTGTGAGGCAAGAAAGCACAAATACTCTGTGGAATAAACAAAGTTAGTGATGTGCATTAATGAGAAGTGAGGTATTACAGAGTGAGAGAGGAGCTCGCTGTGTCCTCAAGTCCCCCGGCAGTCTAAGCCTGTAGCAGCTTAACTAAGCGCTGGTCCGGGCTAACCTCAGAAAGCTTTTAGCTTTTTTAAGCTTTATCTTAAAATAGCTGACGGAATCTGCCCCCCAGACTGAAAGTGAAAGCTGGTTCCACAAAATGGTGTCAAACGCAGCACTGAGGTCCAGCAAGATGAGTCCAGTTCTCACATTCTACCCGAATCTTTTAGATGAGTGAGTTTTAGCTTTTTGGATTTTAAGCACTTTGCGTTTATGCAGGAATGCAACATGAATTAATAATCAATCTTCATGCTGTATATAATCTGGCTCTCAAAAAGAACAACGTTGAGATGTGGGAGGTGCAGTAGGTGCTGACTCAGGAATCAAGTAGCCGTTGATTCTACTCTGCGAATTGCTAATTAATAAGAACATTCCAGAAGTGGGGGGTGACCCCCCTCTCTAAGGGGGTCCCATCTCCATCTCATTGTTGATATTCGGCGGCTACAAACTCTTTTGTTGGTGGCGGAGTGAGGCAAATGTTTTGGTGAGTATTTTTTATATTTCAAATAATGTTGTTTTTCTGTCTGTGCTGATCGGATTGAGTAAACTCACACTGCCTGTTACAGCTCATGTGCAGCCCTCAGAAACACTAAGATTGGCATCTCTAAGCCATCAACAAGTGGAGTTTAGTTTGGTCTGTTTAAAAGTTAAAATTGTCTCTATAAACGTTAAAAGAAGGAAATGTTTGGTATCGTTGAAAAGGCCTGAAGCGGAGCTTTATAATGTAGTTAATCAGATAATGTTAGCCAGACATAGAAGGTTATTTTTAAAATATAGAGACAAAAGGGATGAGCCTTCCTCCTTGATGGCCCAACCCCGACTCTCTGGATTGTCCCATTCAGCCCCACCCAGTCACACACACAGGAACTGGAGGAAAAACGGCAAGCGGGAACTACGAACATCCAGGACGATTGACAATGACGCGACAAGTGACAAGAGACACACACTGCTTGAATACACTAGGGAGGTGCAGGTGATTGGACACAGGTGGAAACAATCATGACATGACAGACAATCACAGGGGAGGACAGGACAAGGCAGGAAGTGACATGACCCAGGGAGAACAGAGGCAAGAACCTACAAAATAAAACCAGACATTGACCCAAACCGTGACATCCCTTTAGTAAATCTTCTGAATGTTTTAGTGAAGAACTCGTTTCATTCAATGTGGTTCATTTCTATCACTTGCACCTTGAAGGTCTGTGGTGCACTGCCATAAGGGGTTTGAGAACCTGGCTGTGCATCTTAGACGGGCGTGTATGAGATCCAACACGGCAGAAGAAAGGACGAGTGAGCTGCAGAGAATGAAGGCCTCCAGCCGGCATTTTGAACTCAACCGATGTTGGGACTACAAGCGGCTGTGCGAGATCCTGCCAGACGAACGCAGCCGTTTAGCGATGTTGAAGGCGTTGCTTGAAAGGGACTACTTTGTGGACAACCAGCCACACGAGCCCGATGTGGACGTAAGCGATGCAGCATCGTCCTCTGAGCCCGATTCTATGTCGTGTCCTTGTGATAAAGATCCAGGGCCAAGTGCTGACCACCAGCACGCCGCTGTGCTAACCGCCGCGCCGCAGCGGCAACCAACGCGCCGCCGCGGGAACCGGCGCAGCAACCGCCGTAAACCACAGTGGTAACCGCCACGATGCCGCCCGTTAATGACACAGTTTATAATAAAAGTAATTTCTTAACATTAGAAAATATATTGCTGTATATTCCAAAGTAATATATGTTGTACTATTATATTACAGTTAATAAAAACAGATGGACCTACCTGATATTATTTGTCATTGATTGATTGAGTCATTATTTTTTAGAGGTTTGCTGAAGCTTTCAAAAGGTTCTTGTTCAGAACAAACCTGATCATGTGAACGAGGACGCTCTCTGTGTCATGTCCTCTGATGGTTGCTAAAATGGATTTCTTTTAAAGTACTATGACACCTGATACTTTATAGAATGTTTTAAAACCTTCCACCAAACAGGGTATCATTTAGTGCTGGGTGACTTGATGAGTGACTGGCTGGTAGAAGGTGCTCCTCCTGCTGGTTGTCCACTGTCCCACTGAAGAGCTGATGGAGGATGTGGAGATATTCACAATTTTCATTTTGAGCGAATCCCAAAACCAATGAGCACTTAATAAAACTAAAAAGAAGAAGTTTGTCTCTCAGATGCAAATGTCCCCTCCAGAGCTTCGTCATAAAAGTCTTGCTACAGAGATGAACGTGTTGTGGATGTGAAGGTTGTTCAATGAATTAAATGGAGTGAAGTGAGTTTATTTTCTCTTGAGAAGTTGAAGAAGTTAAAGTGCAAATAATCAAGAAAAGTCCCTCAACTTTATACTTTATTAAATCTACCTTCTCCACCTTTCTCCCGAAATGGACTGAAAAGTGGACTAAAAGTACAGTTGGCATCAAAATATGGATTGGATTACTTTTTTAAAAAGCTGGATCTGTCATGGGGTGATAGCCAGAACGAAGGTTGACCTCAAAAGCAGGATTCAGAGGATGAAAAAAGATTTTATTTTGGCTGCAGAGGGACTTTATATTACATTACAGGTCATTTAGCAGACGCTTTTATCCAAAGCGACTTAAATTACACTTTAAACCCATGGCTTTTTCACATTTTTGCCTGGGGAGCAATTAGGGGTTAAGTGTCTTGCTCGGGGACACTTCGACATGGAACATGGGGCAGCCTGGACTCGAACCACCAACCTTGTGCTTCCCAGCACACCTTCTCTAACCCCTCAAAAATTTTCACGAAAATATTCAAGAAATATTCAAAGGAATGATTGATTAC